ATTGGATTTTTTAGGTGAGACACAGTGTGCGCGGAACTGAGCCCACCCTTTAATCCTGAGGTTCATCTGCCGGGGCCAAGCACGCTTGGACGGTGGCAGCGAGGTCCTCAGGACGTAGATGGATTGCCTTACAGGGCTAATGAGCTCCATCTGCCCGGGGAGGGGCCCCGACCGGGAATCGAACCCGGGCCTTGGCGGTGACAGTGCCGCATCCTTAACCACTAGACCACCAGGGGCTCCCACTACAGAAGTAGAAACTGGCAAATAAACACAGATAGATGTAAAGCTTAAGTATCCAGATGTGAGAGAGGCAGACAAAAGTTCAAGTTAAATTTAATTCCAAATTAGGCCAGAACACTGAATCTTTTCGTGTTTGATAAAAGTATGCCAACTTGAATGAAGAGTGAATTTGAAAAGTTAGTGTGCAGAGGAGGAGATGTAAATGTGAAAACATAAGTAATGGTAAGCATTGAGCCTTTTGTTTTGGCTAAAATTTAAAATATTTTAAAATGTTCAGTTTAGTGATGTAGATCGCTTTTAGTTTTGATGGCATACACACTTCAGTAAGTGAATAAGCATAAAAACTGTGTTCAATCATACCTCTCCCCTTGCTCCTCATGGAGTTTTGCAGTTCTCATTCAAAAAAAGTCATCTGTCTCACAGGTCGATTAAAATGAACTTTTTTGGAACCTAAAAGTAGCAAAGCAAGTAATACTGTCTGGAATTAAATCAGGTAACCTTGATCAAACAATTAACTCATCCTCTACTAAATCAATATTTGCTGATGCTAATACTGGAGCTAGTTCCAGTAGCTGGAATTACAACCACTGATTTAGTGTCTTTATTAGTAGTAATTAGGCTCCTGTCTTTGCCTAGTACTACTTCTCAAAGCTAGTACTTGGCTTACTTGTAGAAACTGGCCTAGTCAATACCTACAGGACGTGCTCTACACGCCGTTAAAGCTGGTGTGACTCTTATGGTGCGACTCCACAGGGGTTGAACAAGTTCAGGTTGTCATATCCCAGCCCAACTGCTGTGGAGCCACCTCTTCAGGTTATTTTAGCAAAACAATCTTTGATGATGTAAACTCTGTCAAAAGCAGGGAGAATTCCTATTATTGCATAATCAGTATATTCTCAGTGGAATTTTTCTCACAGTACAACTGCAGTGGTGCTTTTGTGGCAGCTTCAGTTCACAAAAGATTCCTGTCACCCCAATAACATTCTGTCCATCCTCAGAACAGTAAGGCACTTAACTGTGACACATTATGAATGAATTTGCTCTGATGCACTAATGTGGTCATGAAGCTCTCTACTAGACCATTTTTTCATTTGTATAATATATTCTTTGTTTCTTGGATCTGATTATGTTATTTTGGATGTTAAATTCTCCTTAAACAATCTGATATAGTCTGATCAGGTTCTTTTGTTTGGGGAAGGGGAAGGATTTTCTTTGGCATGATCTCAGGTCTACAGCAGCATTTCAGTATGTGTTCTGGTCCTGAATTAGCTGATGAGAAATAACTCCTTTATTTTTCAGATACTGAAGGATGGTTTGGTTCAGATCTAGTTTTATGTAATCCAGTATATGCCTAATGAACATAACTAATAAAGTAGGAGATGCAACAGTAAAATTGCAGTAACAACAAATACAGGGATTGATAATGGGATTGCAGTGTTAAAATTACTGTAGGGCATCACGCTACCTTAATATTTCTCTTCAAAGTTATTTATGTTACTCTTGAATCTATACTAGTTAGCAAAAAGCACTCTACTCCCAGGTGTGGGTCCATTATTAGGATTAAAAGATGGATTTTTTTCCTTTGAAAGACAGGACATAAAGAAAATGGTTGTAATGTAGGTTATGGGACTGTTGTTTTTGTCTGTAACCCCCAAACCATCATCAAGGTAAATGGAGAAAATACTCAAATAACCACAAGACTGTGAGGCTATGGTGTAGTTTGGAAATTTTACTTTTCATTATTTTGTATGAAAAATAGTATGGGAAATAATGCATTTAATGGTATGAAATGTAGTGATGAGGAAAAAAAACATTAGGGGATTGTAGCTGATGAACTTGATAGTGCTGTTTTTTTCATTAACATGTGATAACTTTTTTCCAAGTTACTACTAAAAATTATGTCTATCATTATTCACCCAGTAATGCAGGTGCAGTGGTCTTAGTAAGGAATGGGGAAGAGGAAAGACCATGTTACTGTAACAGCCAGTACAGATCAACTGACCTGCAAAACTATTAAAAGTGGGATGATGTTGAGAAAGTCTGGCAGGTGTTGTCTTTACAGACATTTAATATTTTGAGATACATAGCTTTCTTCTCTGAACTACTGTCTTCATCAGCATTGGTGCAGATCCACAGGGCAGCTTTTTGTTTCTGTTAGGCATTTGAAACGAAGTACCAAGACAAAGATTTCTTGAGATATTCTATGTAGATAAATCCACAAATAATCTTTAAACTAATTTTTAAATTCAAAATATTCTCATAAGAATCTTTAGACATTATAGTTGAATTCAGCATTTCCTACATGTAGTTTTTTTTGTAGTGGTTAAGAGCCTTTTTTATTAAACTGTATATTATCTTACCCCTGCTGCAGTTTTTGGACAGGAGGCTGTTATCAGTGATCTAACTTTTTACTGTAATAGAAGCAGATTAACACAGTCACTTGGTTTAATTGCAGGTTGGCAAAAGAAAAAGTTATGTATGAAAAAGAAGCAAAACAGCAAGAAGAAAAGATTGAAAAAATGAAAGCTGAAGCATGTGATGATTATGGAATTAAGAAGCAGGTAACTATCCTAAACCTTGTTTTATAAGATCCTTCTTTGTTTTCATTTAATCCCTAAATAGAAGAATCTCCTGTCCCTTTTCTCAGACTCCTGTTATATAAGTACTAGACAAAAATCCTGTCAATTACAAAAGTCATAATAAGCAGCTGTAGAAACTTCCTTAAACCGTTAAATTATAAGGAGACTTCATATGGATTATTACTTAGCACTTTGTGTCAGGATGGGTGTTACTGGTGGACAGTGTGTCTGAGGCCATCATGAGCTCTTTCTCAGAAATACCAAGAACCTGTAGTAAATACATAGTCTGGATGGCTGTAGGTAAACCAAGTGCTTGTTGGTAAGTGCAAATGTTACAGCAAAGTGAGAATGTTTGCTAGTTAATATTAAGATGAAACATTTCTACTCTTGAGGACACTAGTATCCTTTTGGTAAATTCCCAGGTGTCAAAGAAAGGGAGCAGTGGGTATGCAGCTGCTCCTCAAGAGCTGCTGGAGTTTGTAGTGAAGTCACTGACTAGGAAGGGACATGCTGTATTTTCATCTGCTCAAGAATATGATTTAATGTTACTATTACAGTATGACTACATTTTTTCTTGGAAGGTGTCTCACAAGGGTAGTGGTTGCAGCCAGTTGGTACATACTCTTTTGGAAGAAGTGTCACATTTCCTTCTCACTGGGAGGTAGCTAGAGGGAGATTTGTGTTTATCCTTAACAGAAGTGTGAAATGTCCATGTTTCACTGTGGCCTTTATATTCTTTCAGCTAATTATGTTACCTTTTAACTGTGTTTTTTTCCCCAAGTATTTCCCAGATTTTCTCTCAAATCTTTTCAGAAACTAAAACTGTAAATTAAAGTTAATTTCACTTTTTTTAACAGTCTTATGGCATTGTGTTCTAAAACATAACCTATTGGTGTCCTATTTTCATTTTTAAACAGTGGAAGAACTGGTTAAGCAAAACTCAAGTATAAAATTAACAAAAGATATGTAATAGATTGTTAACTTTGTTCATAAAATCTTATGTGTATGAGGGAATAAAGAACTTTTGTTATAAATCAACAAGATAAGTTTCATGGACATCCTGTTAATTAAGCAAGTGTCAGTAAAAATAATTGCAGACATCTTGCTAAACAAAGAAGTATCAGTATTGGTAAAATTTACAGCTGATAAGAACTGCAGCTTTCATCTTTGACAAATCCCAGATGACCACTTAGCAATGAACCACGAACTCAAGCCTCAACACAGCTGCATTCAAAACTTGGGACTTGGAAATGTATAAAAAGAAACATTTACTACATTTTCAGTGTGTGCCTCGGGCGGGGCAATTGCCCCCCAGGCCACCCAGCACTGTTTGCTTTATTATCGCTTGCTTAATAAATTTATCAATGGTTAATTGGAATTGAGTTGTCTAAATTCTTATACTAACTTATAACAAGATAGAAGGCATTTTTAGAGCAAGCTAAACCAACTTTTTTCAGTAAGTTCATATTTCAGTTCATGTGTCTATGTCCTGCCTTGCTTTCATTATGCATTCCTTATTATACAAATAAAGAATTTGTATACAAGAAAAGAATTTTATTTCACAGAACAGAGCGGTCTTCTGCCTCACCACAGACTGAGACTTGAAGATCCTACAAAACAGTAACCTTTCTGAAGATCCGCTGGTGCTAACAAGAACTAATGAATGCAGTTCCCATTTTTAGTGTCGCCCATTCATCAGATTATTTGACTGTACCATGGTATTTCCACAGTGACCTGCAAGATATCATCAAAGTCAAAAACAGTGTTGGCTGTGAACTTCTGCTGAAGTTAAATGTTCCATACTACTTGAAGGTATTCTCAGAGAACAATGACAAAAGCCTTCACAGAAAACAGTGTCCATTCATTCAGAAATTGCTCGATCCACTTTGAAAGCAAGCAACTCCTCCGATGACATCATCACTTCTTATTTGTCTGGAATATCGCAATATTTTAGATTATTAAAAATGTGGAGGCTCAGAAAGAATGTGCACACTTTTCCTAGGATCAAATCTGTTATTCCAAAGAAAGTTATATAGTACCAGGAGTTTGCTAAGAACCATATTTTGGATAAAGTTAAGAGTTTGAGATTTTTTTCAGGAAAAATATCTGTAGTTACACATTTTAAGAATTGGTTTTAGTTAATTTCCAATCTGAATAACTCTTAAAATACAGTTGTAGTCTTTAGTAATAAAAAGTAACATTTTGGGAATGGGAACAAATTCAATAATTTGAGACTACAAGAACAGTTTTAACTATTACTGTAGCTGAAGTATTAGCTAAATGATATATATATATATATAAATAAATATACACACAAATTAATTGAGAGTTCATGGAGAGATGCTTAAAAGCATTACTTTCAGTTTTCTAGTTACAACTCACAAGTAGAACATATGCTTTTACAGTACAGAAGTGAATATGGAAAATTTTCCTTGAAAGTGGATAATGCCATTCCTGCAGCACATGTAGTATTTAGAGTGTGTCTGGTCTGTAATGAGGGATCAGTCACTTTGTTGAACAATAGGGTTTGACTTAGTATTTTTCTTCTGCCTCCTTGTGCAGAGGGGCAATTTGTGGTTCCTGTGGACTTAAGTGTTCTCTAGCTGAGGCAGTGACCAGCAGGGTTGGTTGGCAATTTTAGATGCTGGCCTTTACATGCACTGTCCAGAAAGACTTGCTTAATGAGGATTCAGATTCAATACCAGAAAAACAAAAAGAGTGATCTTCTTGCAATGCTGGTAAATGCTGACCAAGCTTCCATTGTGGGGTGGAAGAAGACTTTGTTATGGTAACAAAATATTAAAATACTTTTGATTTATTCCACCAGGTGTAAATTCTAGTTATGGTTTCTGCACAGTCTTGAACTCTTGACTGGCAGCAGCAAGTAGTGCAGTTCTACCTCCCTGTGGATTTTTTTGTAATGAAGCTTTAGTTTCTACACAGTTGTAACAAGTCTCGATATACGAAGACTTTAAGCAGAACTTCATGATACTACGTTAGCAGAAATTTTTCACACGGTATAATTCAAGTGCTGGCTAACAATAGGAACTTCTATACTGATGTGGTTGTTGTTGGGTCTTGTATATAAATAAACATATTTTCCCAGCTCATGCTTTTATCTTGAGGCTTGTGAGTGTGGAAGAAGTGTGAAGTATCTCCTCAGTGTTTCCTCTCTGTGGGATTGCAGATATACTCTAGTGGTTTTGTTAATTGTAAGCATTTTTACTGATGAATGATAAATTTTCCTTTTTTTTTTGAAAGGTATTCTACTTTTCCAAATTACTTCTTGAGTAATGTCATTTCTAGATGAATTAAAAATCCAGTGGACTTCACATAGAATTACGTATATATAGTATATAAGAATATTTACATCTTGCTAATACAATTTTTTTCAAGTATTAGTGAATTTTCTTGCTTTGTTGAGTGAAACAGTGTCTTCTGAAACAACTAAAATGAAACATATTTGGAAACAGTACATGTTACTTTGGAAAATAATTGTGTAAAATGATAATTTGCTGCTAATCTTTTTACCAGAGGAGTTCTTGCTGAAAGGAACATTGTAATGTTCTATAACTGTTTCATTTTAAATGTCTTTTTAGCCTCAAAGAAATATTCTGGATAGTTCAGTTGGCTTTTTACATTTTTAGCTCTTTCAGAGTTCAAAGTTTCATTTTCACTCATCAAGTAGAGTAAGATTAGATGAAATGTACATTTTCACATCAGTCTCATTATTTTTGTCATTATTTCCCCCTCTAAGAATACATGATCTCTGCTTAATAATATGAACTCTTAACTCTAGATAGATGCTTTTAGGTCTCTATCCTTCTATCAGATGTGGCTGTAATTAGTCAATAAATTCCAAGTGTTTTACAGACTTTCTGTTGAAAGTAGATTAAACCAGTAGTACTTGTCTTAGCTAACAATTATCTGCATGTCTTTTTTTTTTCCTCTTCACCATCCTTTGCCATCTTCGAGTAGATCCATCCTGTTAGGGTTATCTGTGCAACAGTCAGTGGACAAGTGATTATGTGACAGTATTTAAAAGCCAGAATATATATTCATGTGTGTGTATATAATTGGTACATGTATGAGTCATTTACATTTATCGTGGTTATTAGCTTATCTCTTCTGTTTAGACCATTACTCCTGTCATATGAAACAATACTGCCTCTATATCCTGTGACCCAGTAGTTTATCAGGCTGTCCTTCTAAGAGCAAGGAAGGGCAGAGAGCCCTATTGAGGTTTTCTTCTTGTTGTTTTCAAAATATTTGTGGATCTGCATATCTCTAAATCTCTTGGCTAGATCTGGGTCACCTGGGAAAAATCCCCAAATCTACAAACTCTGCTTCTGTCTTTTTGAAGCTGATAAAACTGGTATCCTCACTAATACAATACATGTCAGGCTGAGCAAAATTGCTTGCTGCTACAGGTATCAGCACTCATGTAAAGTAACACTTACTATATTTTTAAATTATCAAAAATTTGTTTCTGTGTAAGTGCTTGGGTGATCCAAAAAGTAGAGAACCTGCCTGATCTAAGCAGCTCTGTTATGTCAAAAGTTAAAACAATGACTTGAGTTTTCATTGTGGAACATCCTAAAATACAAATTGCTGATGTATAAAGCCTGGTCATTACCCCCTCAGCTGTTTCTCACAGGTTTGGCTTATTTTGAATGTGTAAATTGTCTGATTTTAGTAATGGTTCCTATTAAGCAAATGGTAGATGAATCTGTGTGTTTGCATCTGTTCTGTCTTAATCTATCGCTGCAGTCTTAAATTTAAGGAAAACGTAGTGAAAGCTACCCAGTAGTGCATTAAGCACGTACTTCTTTTGACATCTGACCCAATTTACAATTTCCAGTCATGTTTAGGAGTTAGGCGGTATACAACCCAACAGTTAAAGAGCTCCATCACATCTGAGGAAACTGCTTTATTTTGAAATACGCCAGACATCTGTTCCTTTAGTAGAAATAGCTTCAGTCCTGAAAGACAACTAACTAGAAACATGATGGGTTGAAGAACTGGCTTTTTCAGTACACCTGAAGGAAAGGGCATGTCATCCTCACTGTAGACACAAGAGCTCTTTTGGTCCTGTGTGCACTTACTGACACCAAGTTCAATTAGTTTCTCTCTGTACACTTTTTGGTGCTTTGTTGCTTGTCTTAACTCTGTATTTAGATGCACTTCAGTTACTCCAGATTTTTAATAATTCTGTTTGGCATTGTAATTCACAAAAACTTTGCAGATATTTATGATTCTTTGCACAATTAGATCAACTTCGTGTTATAACTTCCTTTATTTTATACTGTCCTGATTTCAGCTGGGACAGAGTTCATTTTCTTCCTAGTAGCTGGCACAGTGCTGTTTTTTTAGTATGAAAATAAATGTTGATAACACACTGATGTTTAATTGTTGCTAAGTACCATTTACCCAAAGTCAAGGGCTTCTTCCTGTCTTGTGCTCTGCCAGTGAGCAGGCCCACAAAAGGCCACAAGGGACCACAGTCAGAACAGGAGACCCAGACTGGCCACAGGGATGTTCCATATTATAGAATGTCCTGCTCAGTATATAAAACTGGGGGAGTTGGCTGGGAGATGCCAATTACTGATTGGAGATGGAATGAGTATCAGCAGCTGGTTAGCAGTTTCACTGAGCAACACTTGTTCCTCTTGTGTTTTGTTAGTCTCTCTCCCTTTTACTATTATCACTACATTTTGTTTCAGTTATTAAATTATTCTTATCTCAGTCTATGAGCTTTACTTTTTTTTCCGATTCTCCTTCCCACCAAGGCAAGGGAAAGTGAGAGGCTGCCTGGTACTTAGTTGCTGGCTGAGTTTAAAACCACAGTCCTTGGTAGCTGGAGGTTGAGTCACCTAGTGCTGGTCACCGGAATTGGAGTAGCTGCAGTGCATGTCACAGGGACAGAAGTGGCTGCAGTGCCTGTCATTGTAGCTTGAGTGGCTGCAGTTGGTGCCTTAGAGTTCAGCCAGAAAGTCTGACAGAATTTTGATAGAATGTGAAGAGCAAACACTTCAGAAAGTCCAGTCCTAAAGCTTATCTAATTATTTGAGCTTTTGACTTTGCTTTACTATGTACCTTTGTAGTGGAATTATCAGCATTACTTGAAAAATGTGGTTTATGCAGAGGTTAAATAATACTGGTTCCACATAATTCCTGTTCTGGTCTTCAGCTGAGTATAGTTCCAGGATTTATCATCATTCTGATTTTTATTTATTATTGCATAACTGCAGGAAAATGTAAACAAAATTCAGATACCCCACTGGATCTCAGTCGGATGCTGTTTTGAACAGAATGACTAGGGTAGATTTGTTCATTTCTCAAAGCAGGCAGAACTACAGCTTACAGATTCTTAGATCCATATGCCTTCCTAGATGGCTCATCTAGTGGCACATATCAAACAAGTTACTACTTTTCATCTCACCTACCAGCTTTACAACCAACAAATATTTAGTAGTGCTGGCTCAAGGAAGTAATTATTGGATATTCTCACTCTTGTAGGTATTCTTTATACAAGACAATTCTACTACATAAAGTAGAAGGCATAATTTCATACAGTTTATGGCACATCTCATTCTATGGATTCACTGATGAAAGTCTAAAACTAGAAACTAAGTTTTTTCTCTCAAAACCAACTTGATGTAAGAACTTGAATACATGACACTTCAAAACATCATGATAATGTCTTACTACATAAGGCCTTCCAGAATGCATAAATACATTCTTAGCTATAGCTTAACATGCTTTCACAATGACCCTTTGGCACAGCAGCACTAATGCTAGAAGGACAGTACAGCATAGGAATGACAGTGAAGTCAGCCATTTAAAGGGAATGCCTTCTGTTGAGGGTTGTCCTCAATGTATTGTATGTTTCATATTTAAATATCTAACAGATTTTTGTTTCTAAATAGTATTACTGAACAACTCTGCACACCTTTCCTTCTCAGTGGTTGGATTTCAGATCCAGAAGTGTTCCATGAAGTAAATGTTCCCTTTTTTAAGACTGAAGTTGTTTTCTTTAGGAGGCAGCAGGATTTTCAGATTCGGTGGGGTGCCAGTTTAGTAATTTTGTTCAAAGTGCATGGTGAGAATAATCTTTCTCCTAAAATGAAGCACAAGGATAAGTAATAACTTTTTATGCATGATAAGCATCAAAAATATGAGCCTGCTGGTCTTTGCTTTTCATTTTTCTTTACCTTTGTCTTTCAGTCAGAGCCTCCTGCAGTCTGCACACAATGTGATCAATAACTCAATAAGTTTTTTCATGCAGTAATTATCTCTATGGGGTATTATCTGAACACTCTTTTTCTTTATTACCTAAAAGATGCAGGAGATATTTATGTAACCAGCTGATCCCATTTTGGATGAAGCTGCTTCATGACAGCAGGAGAAAGTTTGTTTTAAATAGACTTTTTAACAAATGGTGTATGGAAACCTTACCAAGCAGTACTTTTTTCCTAAGGGAAAAATTATTCTAAATACTCTCTTGCACTTAATACTTCATATTTAATTAAGCATAGAGTAAATGGAAGTGTCCTGTAAATTAAAAGAGTTTTAAACAATTATGCTAAGTGAGTGTCTTTTCATAAAAAAGCCTATTCAGAAAATGGGTGCAACTGTTCTGAAGTTCCTAGATAATGACTGGACTGCTGATTTTTCAGAGTAAAAACTTATCTTAAAAGGTAATGTTTCTATCTGGAATACATTCTTATCTCATTGGCTTTTAATTTTCACAGATCGAGATCTTACAGGAGTCACGAATGATGATTCCAGACTGCCAGCGCAGACTGGAAGTTGCACACGCAGAGCTTTCTCAACTACTAGTGAGTATAGCACCATACCCCACTGATCAAGAAGTGCGGCTGTTCCTGGGTGAACTTGGATAAACATGGTTGTCTGCAGTACAACTGCAGCAAATTAAAACTGGATTGAAGAATTACTTTTTATAGGTTCCAAGACCAGAATCCTGTAATATAGCAGTATTTCACTTTGGTAACTGTCTTTGCAGACTTGATCTTCAGTCTATGAAAACTCTGTGTGTTAGAATAGTGGAAGCCATCTTTAATGGAATGTACACTCAACAGTTTAAATACAAAACTGTGAGAACAGACTCAGAATTCCTGTGCTAGTTCCATCACCAAAAAACCCAGGTGGTTTTATAGATAGTGTAGGTGTATGTATTATGCTTATACTGAACTGAATTGGTCAGAATACTTTGCTTACTACTTTTATTATGCTATCGACAAGAAACAAGTCAGATAAGTCCTTGCTGAATACTGCTTTATGGTTTATTGTGAAGTGAGCAGTAGTGTCACGTTTTTAAGATACAAATACCTGCAGGAATGAGAAGTATCTTGTACAAATAGATTAACTGAAACTGTACCAAGTTTGGAGATGATCATGCTTATTTTTAAAAGCTGCCTTCTCATCAAAAATTCACCTACATGTGTAAGTGCTATTGTGGGGCTAAAAATATATGCCCTAAATTAAGCCCCAGACATACTGATGGCTAAAATGCAAATACTTTTTAAATGGAAAACTCAAGGCATCCTGTTCTCAGGTCTTTTGCCTCTACTGTTTTCCAAAATAAATATTTAGTACCTGGCAAGATTTAGGCTTCTTTTGTCATTCAATTAGTTACTTAACAGTTAGACTAGACTTCAGTGGTATGCAGAAGTAGTGCTATTTATTTATAGTGTGCTATGCAAACTTAAGGAATAAGGACAGTTACTATTGTTTTTAAGAATTTGGAAGTCTTTAAGTGTTGCTTTCTGTGCTTAGCTCACCTTCAATGCTTTTATTAAAATTTACTGTATCATAGTGCTTTTTTTCAGTTGTCAATCTACTTAAGCTTATTCCTTGGAGTACTCTCCATCTGACGTTTGTTCTTAATGGTTCCTTGATTTTAAATATTTAACACAGTAAAATAAAAGTCAAATCTACTTGCATTTAACAGGTATTATACTGGACCTTAAGTAGGAATTTACCTGTGCTTTGAGTTTCATAGAACTTGTGTTTTCAAAAATTATGTATCTGTCATTTCATACAGTGGTTTGAATTGGATGACCTTTAAAGGTCATCTAGTCCAACCCTCTTGCAATGACCAGGGACATCTTTAGCTAAATCAGGTTGCTCAGAGGCCCATCCTGAATGTTTACAGAGATGTGGCACCTACCACCTCTCTAGGCAACCTGTTAACAGTGTTTTGCCACCCTCACTGTAAAAAAGTTCTTCCTTATATCTAGTCTGAATCTACCCTCTTTTAGCTTAAACTCATCACCCTTTGTCCTATTGCAGCAGGCCCTTCTAAAAGTCTGTCCCCATCTTTCTTGTAGGCCCCCTCTAAGTATTACAAGATGCTATAAGATCTTCCCAGAGTCTTCTCCAGGCTGAACAGCCCCCACCTCTGAGCCTTTCCTTGTAGGGAAGGTGCTCCAGCCCTCCGATCATCTTGGCAGTCCTTCTCTGGACTCATTCCAACAGGGACTGTCTGGGCTGAGGACCCCAGAGCTGGATGCAGTGCTCCAGGTGGGATCTCACCAGAGCAGAGTAGAGGGGCAGAATCCCCTCCCTTGACCTGCTGCCCACACTGCTTTTGATGCAGCCCAGGATACAATTGGGTTTCTGGGCTGTGAGTGCACATTGCTGGGTCATGTCCAGCCTCTCCTCCACCAGCACCTCCGAGTCCTTCTTCAGCAAGGCTGCTCTCAATTCCTTCATCCTGAACCTGTATTGATACGGGGGGGTTGCCCAGACCCTGGTGCAGCATCTTGCACTTGACCTTGTTAAAACTCATGAAATTCACACTTCTTGAGCTTGTCCAGGTTGCTCTGGATGACATCAGATGTGTCAGCTGCACCACTCCTTGTCCACTAAACTGTCTACCCATCAAATCCATATCTCCAGTTTAGAGATGTTTCCTTTTTTCCAGTCTTAAAGGACTTCACTTGACTGCCACAACTTTACATATATTATGGAGAGGGGCTTGGCAACTACATCAGCCAATTACCTCAGGACTCTGGGAGGCATCGTACTGGGTCCTATAGACTTATGTACATTCAGGTTCCTCAGGTGGTTGTGAGCCTGATCTTTACTTACCATGGGAGAGACTTTCCTCCTCAGGTCCCTATCCATCCACCTAAGAGGTGTGGGAAGAGAGGCTGCTAGTGAGACAAAAACATGGTTACCTCAGCCTTCTCATCTGTTGTTACCAGTTTTTTTCCATAGTTACCTTCTTAAATTTAATCCCACAACGGTTATTTTCAAAGTACTCAAAAATGTTGTTTTTAATTCCAGGAAAATGAAAAAGAATTGGAAGAAGCTGAAGAGTATAAAGAAGCACGTTCCATACTGGAGTCAGTGAAACTGGAAGCCTAGCAGTTTTCCAGTACTCTCTTTATATGCATTAGCACGGGGTCCATTCCATACTTTTATTTTACTATGGTTTTCTTACTATTATTGACTTGCTAAGGTTCCCTTTATGCAAACTGGCCTTTCTCTAACTGCAAGATGCATCAAATAAAAGATGTTCTGAAACATTTGTGTGTTCCCTATTCAGGCAAAATAAATACATTTTCAGTTCACCTCAATTACAAAAAGGAAAAATAAAGCCCATTTATTTTAAGTGTAATAGCTGATATATAGAATTTAATCTGAACAATTCAGGCTAAGAAACAAAGTTTGGTTATGTAAGGGACCAGTAAATACTTCAGAACGAAACAGCATCATAGAATGGTTTGGGCTTAAAGGGTTCCATCTAGTTCCTGCCTCCTGATATGGGCTGTAGAAGCACTTTATATGTGAAATAATTTAAAGCCATTATACCATAACAATCTGTAGTGAAAGAGAATATGGATTAAATGACCCTTCACAGTCACCTGTCTTTTTTCTATGATGCAGTTTTTCTGTAATTTTATCAAGTATGTAATCCTTGTTTATCTTTGAGCCCAAGCCAAATTAAAAGCTGATTCCAAATCTTTCTCATTTGACTTGGATTGATTCATAAAGCCCAATCCACATAATTACCATTGATCAGAAATTCTGTCACTTGAAGAAACAGAATTTAGCAGGTGACTAGGATGCTGTCAGTTGCACCTGCAAGTAACAGTTCTGGACCGAATACTTTTCCTGAAAGCACATTGGCCTAAGTGAGATTTTTTTTTTGAACCAAGCTTAAACCCCAGAACATGAAAGAGACCTGATGGGTAAGGGAACAATACTCAGTCTGCCTGGAAGAGCATTAAAATGTTATGTACAAAAGTTGTGGTTTTTTGAAAGTAGTTTCTCTACAGCAAATAGTAAGCTCTGTTGAAAAACAAGAAAGCTTTTTACATTAGTTTTTCTAGTTTGAAAGTGCTCTGGCATGTTCCTTAAAGGCAACACAAAGCACAGTGTACCTTTTGTGTGGTGCTATATTGAATACTCAATAAAATTTTTTGTTAATTTGCCTGAGTTTGAGTAAACTCCTCTTTCAGTACCTCTATTTGTGTACCTTAAGCACATGAGAGTAGTAAGTCTACTTCCCCATCACTCTTAAGCACTGCTTTGACTGGCTAACACCAAAAGATTTCTGATTTGACTGCAGAATGATCTACTTTTGAAGTGTTCCCAGAGCAGTACTAGACAGGGCTGAGAGGTGAAACCTTTTGTGACACTCTGTTTTCATAAGAGAACAAGCATACCTTCTTACCAGCATTGTGCCCTAGGCATGTAATTGCCAAGCAGACACTTCCCAGCTCATGGCACAAATGAACTGCTGTTGAGGAAAACATCTGTCTTTGAGTACTCATTTCAGCAAGTTTTTTCTATGGACCTGAAAAACTCCAGCCCCGGGAGCTGCTGGCTCACAGGATTGGCTAAGAGCTTTACTTTAACATATAGATATGAGGTTCTTTAATACCTCAAAATAACATCAAGAGAATAAGATACTGACTTGTTTCCAAGGAATTACCTTATTAATTTAGAGGAGTAAATAAGGGGGCTTGGCCAAAGTTCAAAAGGACACCACACAAGCTAGACAAAATGTTCCACCACAGTACTGATGCAGCATATACTATTAATCCAACAACACTGAAGTCAAGGTCCAGGAAGCCAATAACACTTAAATCAAGATCGAATCCCTCCACCCCCAAACCACCTGAAGCATCAAGAAAGGAGCAGAGAAAGAGGAACAGAGGGATCGAGAAAAGAGAAGGAAAAAGAGGGAGAGACAGATTTTAGAGCTACCACAGAAGGCTTGTAGAAGACCAGCTCTCACAAGACCAAGTGGCAGTGCCACAATAGAGCCGGACACATGCCCTTGTTTTATTTGCTCTGGTCTCTATGGCCAACCCCTCCAGCCACTCTGGTGTTCCAGGTCAGAGTGAGAAACAGTGTTCTCACTGTCCCCGCCAGTCCGAGGCTGGGTTGGGCTCCAGGAGGTGTGGTGTGTTCTAGTTTTCCTGGGCTGCTTGACCAGCAGCTATGCTGGGGCTGTCCCACATGGGATCCAGGGGCTGCCATGAGGGATACGATGCCACCCCACCTCTGTTAAGTTCTACCTACCCCTTCTCCCTACACACACACACACTACCCACAAATGGGTTCTGACCCAATATTAATTGATCTGGTGTCTAACATCCCACCCTGTAGGGTCAGAACACCAACCAGGACTAGGTTTAATAATCTCATTCTTGTGGTGCAAGCTGGCAGAGAGAAAGAAGACAGGAGAAAGAGGAAAGTATACAAGAAAATCAGATCAATAACCATGTCAAACCTTATCAATAATCATAAACTAGGAGTTCTGTCAATACAGAGACTCCAGTCCATGCAAATTACTCTCTCACACCTTCACTGGGACAGGTGGCTGGAGTGTACAAAGCAGATTACGTGTCTCAGGTGACAAACTGCAGTCAGCCTGGCAGTAACTCTTCACTTGCAGCCATTGAGTGGAGTATGAGGAATAAATGCTGAGCTGAAAAGGAGTTGTAGGGAGGTGCTGAGTCTGCCAGGTAAAGCAGAATTTAAAATAAAAATTACTGTTCTTCAGAAGAAAGAATACACTCTTCTGGAAAACAAGTCCACAGAAAAATGATGTGCAGTTGCTGAGTACAAAAAATGCAGGTCGGTATGAAAGCTAAACAGAGTTGTGACCTATAGTGGCTGAAGGAAAGTAGCACTGTAATATGGCTTAAGTTGCCAGTCAGAGTTAAAGGCACATGGGACTGAGTACCTACCACATAATTTCCAGGGAAAAGTTTCTTGGTGCAGTAGTTTCCAGGGTAGAATGGTTTCTCGTGCTCACCTAATACTTCTCTGTCCAAGCTGTTTCCTAGCTCCCTGTGATTGCATGAGGGGATGATGATGCTCTTCCCTATCACTCCAAAAGACAAGCATGGTCCGTAGTATGGAAAATTATCCATCCTCACTGATGAAAATCAAGGTATGTTCACACCCGAAACTACTTTCTTGTCTCCAGATGCCTCTGGAAGTGTCTGAGAGGACAGCAGCATGTTTTCAGACTCCAGCATCCTTTAAGAGAAGGGAGGAGCTAACTGTACACAGCTATTTTGGGTTAAATACACATAAAGGATAAACCAAACAGAGCTCCTCTGTTTCCTTATAATAACATCCTGGTTTTGGCAACCCACCATCTATGCCTCAGGTGCAACCATTCAACTGTGCTGCAGTCAATCTCCTACATCGTAACACTCAAGGGTGTATGGGAGAGAATTCAAGTCCTTGGTCTAACTCAAGCAAGCCAAGAGGTTCAGATCAAGGAAAATGCCAAATAACTGGGCAATTTCCTAATAGACTGAAGTCTTCTGAATTAGAACAATAGGTGGCTGCACAGCCTCTTAAGACTGGGCCATTACCAAGAATTTAAAATTGAAATGGTCTGATCACCCCAAAAGGTACAGTTCTGTTCAACTGACCTGTATGACAAAAGAAGTGAAAGTGTGTGTATTTAATATGTGGGTGATACAAGGGTGTTCAGTATCTTCAAGGACAATATTAGAAATCAAAAGGTTTCTAACACACCGGAGAAAGTTTAAAAAACTGCATTCAGCAAGGACATATTTAAATAAGGAAAAAAAACCCCAAATTATACACTGTAGCAGCAAGTTTCTACAACACAAGAAAAAGCAAAAGCTATATGTTTCTGAAAGAAACGTAAGAATTTTAGTGAGTTATATGCATTAACTTAGTTCACAAGACATGGGCAACAACCCTAACACTCCCCTTTGTATTAGAAGTCTTCATCTAGAAACATCATCACTGCTAGAAGCTACCACTGAAGGGTTGAACAAATAAGAAAGATTCAAAGGCAAACACTGAAAACTAAAAAGACTGAAAGATGGTTTCTGCAAAAGAAGGAACAAATCCAGATGTTTTAGCTTAGAAAAATACTGGGGTTGGCAGTGGTAATAGTCTTCTAGCATATACAAGGTTATGGAGGAAAGTAATAAAGTTTTGCTTGGCAGAAAGATGCAATGAGCTTCAGTTACAATGAGGGGAAAAAAAAAAAAAAAGCTGGAAGCATTCTTCCATCAGGAAACAACTAAGACAAATGAAGTGCTGGAACAGACTGCCCAGGAACTCTGCTGGAGATGCCTTCCTAGAGATCTTGACAGGGCAGCTCTGTCACACATGATACAGGGACAGCTGATCCTGCCTCATACTTATACATTAGGGAAAGCATCCAAAGGTGGATAAGCATCCATCCTTCCTTCAGTGGCACTTACCCCTCATTCAAAAATATAAAATATTTGTGACACAGCTGAACTACTGCGAATACAGCGCAGAGGTGATCCCCAGAGCCCCCTCAAAGGAGAGGATGTCAGTGATACATATCAGACCTTTCAGATCTTGACTGCATGTTACAACACAGGATTCAAAGAAGCTGAAAATACTCCTCCTTAATGAAAGGACAAGATGACAATCCAGATGAAGTAATTTTGTTTAGCTTTCCACTTACTATTTGCATTTCTGAACACTCACCACTAAAATGTAATGTCAAATACCTTAAATTACCACTTGTCATTTTATGTTAACTTTGTGCAAAAGCAACTTGCTCGGGGCAAAGATAAGAAGCCAGAAGTTTGAACTGAAGCTGCAATCAGAAGGATGGAACTTGCAAGGCAAGAAGTGAACTGTGGGGCCTGCTGGAAGCAACTACAGGGAAAGTAGCAAATTTTTTTCAAAGTCTCACCCTTCACAAAGAGCAGGACTACAAACTTGAGAGAAAGGAGAAGAAAGCATGTCATTTGCAGCCTAACTATCTTAACAACCCTTCTCCCCTCAGATCTCTCAAGGGTACCTGTTCTTTATGAGGACACCAGGAACAGAAGACAAAACAGAGAACCACTTCTGGGTTCTCTTCCATGTGCAATCTTGGCTATGCTCTCTTCTTAGATATAATAGAGATCCCATGACAAATCCAAATCATGGGCTTAAGACTTTGGAAGAGATGGTGAAAGGGATATGAAACTGTATTTAGAAAACAGGTGGAAGGTGGCAAATTCAACTAGAGTGAAAAAATCAGCTCTTGAACTTCACAGGTTATTTGCTAGCACATCCAGGATCCAGCATTTCAGGGCAAACATCACCAATGTCCAAAATCTAGAAACACTCAACATAAACATTACTTTTAACAGGAAGAAGGAAAACTTTGTTACAACAGTTTTGTTTTCTTATTGTTCTGAAGTTACTGTAGATGTTACATTAGGTGCAAGGAAACTCAATTTCCTCAATTTACATTAGATGCAAAGAGCCTCAATTAATAAGGTTAAACAGAGGCTGAATAGATTGAAAATGGAAAAAATAAGCACATTATTTATGTATCAATTATGACTTGCTCTCTATTTCAACAAAGGGAAATAAAATTTTCTCATCTTTCCTAACAATCCAGAGGCCTCCTCCTGCCCCTGCATAATTAGCGGTAAATTTCACCACAGCTCTCCATAAGCAATCAAAAAGGCTATCTAATTAAAAAAGTAATTAGTTTACACAGATAGATGTGAGTCGGTAGATTAGTTTATGAAAATAAAATGAAATTCCTCTGGATGTTTTTAGTGACTTGGCTTTCTGCTCTTTTACAGCTTCTACACATTTCCAAGGAAGCAGGTTAAAATAAGTAAAAAAACCTTCAATTGTAAATGAAGAGAGTATCTTTCAAAGCCAATTGATCAGATCTGTCAATTTTATAACTTGACCTCTTTTTTCAACACAGAAGATAAACTTCATATTTTTGTGTAAAAATTAATGCCTCCATAAAAGGACTAATGTGTTATGTTTCATTTTCTTGGGTCATTTACATAATACCTACCACCATGTCAGGTAGGCACCAAACTGAACCTGGAAAAGGGAGGTTTGAGTGCTATCACCCAGCACACCATAGGATTTTTAAGAAGCCAGAACAGCTCCTGACACCAGACCTGGCCAAGGGGTCTTTCCCCCAGTCATCCTTCCAC